GCAGTTCCGTTCTTCCATTTCCTCTGGCCAGAAACCTTGGGATCATCCTTAAACATTTTCTCATCCACATTACATTCAATCTATCAAAAATCCCGTTTTCTCTCACTTCAGAAATACCCTCTGTCCATGTCTCACCCTCTCCAATTACCACCCTGATCAGAGCTATCATCGTCCCTCTCCTGGATTGCTGAAACAGTCTCCTAAGTCGTTTTCCTTCTTTAGTGCTTACCTTCCTCCATTTTATTTTCTAGAGAAGATACAGTGAGGCTTTTAAACACCAGTTAGTCATATACAAACTACTTATGGCCTCTGCTCAAAAACTCTGTCAGAACAAAAGTCAAACTCCATTCTGTGACCAAGGCCCTTCATGATCTGGCCGCTGCCACCCCTCAGGCTCATCTCCTATCAGTTTCCCACCAGCTCACTCCGTTCCAGCCATGTCACCTTTTGCGTTCCTTCAACATGCCAAGCCGGTCCCACCTCAGGGCCTTTGCACTTCCTACCCCTCTTCTGGAATATTCTTCCCAACGATTTCCAAATAGTTTATTCATCTCTTTGCTTAGATAGCATCTCACCAAGAAGTCTTTTCCTGACCATTCTATTTGAAATAGCAGCCCACATCCCTCCAATTACCCTCCATTTTATTACCCTAGTTTACATAGATTATATTAAGTTGTCAGAAAAGTCATGACATATTTTTCTGTTTTTCGTTGCAAAAATGCATCATGACTTTTCTGACAACCCAATATATACAGGTGTTTTTGTCTAAATATAAATTTATATTTACTTATTTGCCCTATATGTTAATATACATATTTTTATTTATTTATGTCTTATTATATATACATGTATTTATATATTATATATACTTGTGTCTATATAAATACAAATGAACACTATTTGTATATATTATAGTGTATGTTATATACTATATATATACTTATTGTCTGATCTTCCTCCCTAGTAAATCTCCATTAAAGCAAGACTTGCTTCATTCCAGCATGTAGAATAGCCCTGGCCAGCCACTCACTAAATATCTGTGAAAGGAAGAAATAAATTTCAATCCAATCAGCACTATGTATGATACACAGGTATACACAGAGTACTGTGGAAGCACAGAGGAGAGACACACAGCCAACCCGAGCACTACAGGAAGACTTCCTGGAGGAGGTGATGTTCCTGCTGCTTCTTGAAGAAGGAAATAAGAGGCATCCAGGTATGTACATGTAGAAAGATCATTACTGACAGAAGGAAGAACATGGGCAGTGATTAAAAAACCCGAAAGAGAAATGTTGTATTACAAGAGCGTGAAGCAGGCGCTGAAAGCGGTGGGTGGTAGGACTGGGGATAGGCAGCCTTGCGCAGCCACTGAGGAGGCATCAGACAGCAGGGTAGTCAGCTCATGACGGAGTCTCCATGCCTCTTACATCTTTAAGATTCATCCACGTTACTCTGGAAACATAATCTGTTACTTGTAAGCACTGTGTTTTTGTGCTTTCACCACACTATGCCTANCCCAGGGGGCCGGGTCTATGTGATGCCTCTGAGCTGCTGACAGCACATGCCAGGTGCCATGTGGAAAGATCCAGCATTCAACAGATAGTCTCCACTCATTGTCTCATCAGCATGTTTACATTGAAAGGTAGATGCCAAGAAACATCTCTCATTTTTTCCACCCTCACCATTGTAGCTTCATGTCTCTGCATTGTGCACAACCAAACCTACTGTGCCTGGGGACTCTTGGAAGTCAGCCAAGGTGGCTTCTAGATTTATGGCACATGACAAATGGGTTTGGTAAAGGATCACTAGGAGAGCATACGCAATGAGACAGTCATTCCAGTGCCACAAGGCAAGTTTATGTGTCATTTTAAGGAGATAGTCTTCAGCTTTATAGTTTGCTGAAATTGTTGCTTGCTCGCTACTTTATAGTATCTTTATTATTAGAGAATAAAGTAAGCCTATCCTCAGCGCCCCGACAGGAAAGGAAAAGCCATTATCAGCAGCCACCATTGTCAATCATAAAAGAGAGCAACCAATCAGGAGGGAAGCAGTGGCCAGCCATGGCCCACCTCCTCTAAGACGGGGTGAGGGAGGGAAGTGAGGGGCTCCTCTGCTCTGTCCAGTCCTCTGAGTGAGTTCAGGAAGGACGCGTTTCCTGAGAGGGCACTGAGGGAGCAGTAAATATATTATGGCCACTATTACCTGATTACTACTCGATGTTTTTTTGGGGTAGAAAATAAGGAGAGAAAAAAAAAGTTTTGTTTTTAATTTTAAATAAAAATCTTTTGATTTCTGTCTTATTATTCCAAACTTTTACTCACTGTATTATAGGAAGGAAGGAAGGAAAGAAGGAAGGAAGGAAGGAAGGAAGGAAGGAAGGAAGGAAGGAAGGAAGGAAGGAAGGAAGGATTTATTGTTCAATTTGCTCGATTTAAGACCTGAAAAAAATTTGACCAAAAATTCCACTAAAATGTTCATTGGTTAAAGTTCTCCTTATTCAAAATCTCCTTTTATAGGCCATTTAATTACTGCCAAAGAACTTAAGGAATTTCATGAATTTATTATAGTCAATATAGAATTTTGAACTAAAATTCATGATGTTATATTTACACATGCAAAGAAAATTATATTATTTAAAAATCTTAGCAAAGTNCTTGTCATTTATTTTATGGTGTGACATTCAGAGGATGCCAAGAAAGCACATGGCCGCCATTCCAGATGGACTTACCTGATGGAATGTCATTGCCTTTGTCCCATAGAGTCTGTTGGCAATGCTGAGGGTATAGTTAGAGTCCGGCTGGTTGAGTTGAGAGAGTAGGACTCCGAACTGTGAGTGAATCCTTCCAGCTTGGCTGCACTGAAGAACCAGTAAACAAAGGAAGGAGTATCAGATTGCTTGATTTCTTGCCATTGGAGAGTAATAAATAATGTGAAAACAATAACTACAGAGCAGGGTGTTTGCCTCTGAAGAAAAGGGCAGTAAATACAGTACTAACAAACAAGGAGATGAAGAGTTTAAAGAATTTTCCTTCTCTAATTCCCTTTAGCTCAATAATCTCAGCACTCTGATTCTGGTTACAGACTGTGTGCAGAATTGTCAACTATTGTAAAACACACATGCACTTGTCAGCCTCCATGGTTTAATTCAAAAGCAGAAGTTTTCATAAATAAAGAGCTCCTACTCAGGTATTCAGGGCAATAATCCAAGTGTTTTTGCTGCCTTTGTACCTATGGGATCATTTCTCTATCACACTCCTTTCAATATCTCTGTTTTCTGTTTAATCAAACACTTTTAATCAAACCATTTAACCAAACACGTCAGCTCCTCACTGAACTGACCTCACACACCCATCTGACCCTCACAGGAGCAATGTGGTTAAGCACGCAGCTTTGATGCACCTGAATTCATTGACATTCCTGGGGTTATGCTTATATTCCCTAAAGCAAAGTTTCCCCAACTGTGGGCTTGATGCTCCTAACAAACAGTTGGGTTCTGTGAAACAAGTATTCTGTGAATCCATATGCATTTATGTATTTCTGAAACAATCATAATCCTGTGAGAATTCTGCTTAATTTTCATGTCAAAAGGATTCCTCCTGCTGGAAAGAACTAGGAACAGGTGATACAATTATGTGGCAAAGCCTCAGGGTCTTTTTTCAGCCCCCTCATGGGTCTGAAAAACTTAACACTGCACTTCATTATTGTTGTGACTATCATTATGTTAAACTCTATAAGCTATAGCAATTATCAGAAAGGTGAAAGGAGGAGATCACGGGGGACATTGCTAGCCCCCAAAGAAGGGCTCTGCTATACAGCTCCTGAACCATTCTTTCTCAGTGCTCTTGCGTTAAGGAGCATTTGCCAACTCAGAAGGAATATGAACATACCTTAGCTGAGTCTTTAAATTCTGGTTTTAATGATCCCACAATATGATTAAAATGAAGCACCTAGAAAAAGAAAGATGGATCAACTGGCACCAACAGCCACATGCAGTCTCTAAAGGTTAACATTTACAAGCACCTGTTTTTCCATTTCAGATAAAGACCAATAGTAATAGCTAACATTTAGTGATGTTCTATTCCACGTCCTGAGCTTCCAATATATTACTTCACCCTCCCAAGAACTTTATAAGTAGATACTACTATCCCCATTTTCTCTAAGGGAAATTAAGCCCAAGAGAGATTAAGTGACGTGCCCCGGAACATTGTCTGTCAGGGTCCAGGGACTGAGCTGTCACGTGTGAGGATCTTCTGTTCCCATCTTAGCATTCCCAGATCCTTCACTAAGACAGAGCCCATCCAGGGCCGTGTAAAACATGACATGGCTTCCCAGCACAATACTTATTTTAAATGCAAGAAAATCATAAAAGTGCATCAAAATATGGAAGGAAGAAATAATAAGATGTGCAAGTATCCTGGGGGTTGTTAAGTGACATTCTTCTAGGCTTTCCACATCAATAAAAAAATATACATATAAGGGCAAATCACTCTATATCAGCCTATGTAACCTGAAAAGTTACACTTTCTCTCTTAGTCTCATTATCCCGATCTGTAAAATAGGAATAACAATTGCTACCTGCCACACAGGGTTTTAGGAAGTTGCCATGGACTAAAGACTATTTTTAAGAACTTGATAACTTTTAAAGTGTTATTAAGTTGTATTCAAAATCAAACTTCCAGAGGGCAAGAATGGTACCATACACGTGCTCTCTGTCAGGTTTAAATCCCTGAAAAGATAAACTCTGAAAGTAAACTGTGGAAATGTACCTGTGAAGCCACTGGTAGTAACAAAGGGGTATGTAGTGCATGGATTGTGTTATTTTCATTACAATGTATTGCATTATTTAAGCCATTCTCCATTTTTAAGACACATTTTGCCAAAAATGCGTTCTTCCTCCACAAGATGGCAGAGTATTCTTGGTAGAAAGATGAAAGTAATTTGGCTGACTCAGAGAGGGTGCATGTAAGACTGCCAGGCTACCGGGACATCTGTGGTGCATTCCATACCTTTTCCATCTGCTCTGCACTGTTTCCTCTGGCACCAAGGAGGATCATGCTTAGAGCATAAAGCAGACTCAGCGGGGAAAAGAAGATGTTATCTCCTGCGTTGTTATTGTTCAGTTCTTTGAACATATCAAGGCAAAATTCAACATTTGCTGTGCTGAGGGAATCCATTTTATGCCAAGCACTACCTGAGAACAGACAGGGGAAANGTGAGCTGCCATGAGCCACCATGAGCAGCTGTCCAATGGCCGGTGAGCGACTGCCTCACCCGGGAAGAGTGCAATGATCACAATATCAACATGGGCCAGTGAAGTGATGTCCTCCACAACTAGACTGAAGAACAAAAAGATAGCAACTTGTCTGTTCCCCTTCCCCAATTCCCCAACGCTGTTCCCCTCCCCCCAATTCCCCAATAAAATCTTAAAAAAATAAAATAAAATAATAAAAACAAGATAGTTGATAAACTACCTCTGCATGAATGACTAAAAATCTTTAAAAAAAAATTAAAATAGTTGTTCCTCTTGGGGGAGGATTGACAGGAAAAAGGCATGAAGAAATTTTCTGGAGCAGTAGAAATATTTCATTTCTTGATAGGGTTATGGGTTAGCTGTGTGCACGCATTGGTCAAAACTGGTTAAACTGACTGATTGGAGCATTTCACTCTATGTAAATTACACATCAATAATAGTGCTTTATTTTAAAGTAAATTTTTTTGAGATAATTGTAGGCTCACTCACATGTAGTTGTAAGAAATAATACAGAGATATTCCATGTATCCTTTAGCCAGTTCCTTGCAGTAATACCTTACGAAACTATAGCGTCATGTCACAACCAGGATACCGACATTATCAAAGTAAAGATACAGAATATTTCCACCACCACCAGGATCCCTCATGTTCCTCTTTTAAAATCATAGCCTCATCCTTAAACCCTGCCAACCACTAATCTGTTCTCCATTTTGATAGTTGTGTCCCTTCAGTAATGCCATATAAACATATAATCTTTTGGGATTGCCATTTTTTCACTCAGAGTAACTCTATGGTGTTCCATCCAATTGTTGAGTTCATCAATAATTCATCCCTTTTTATTTCTGAGTAATGCCCATGGTACGGATACACCACAGTATGTTTAACCAGTCACTACTTAAAGGACATCTGGGTTGTTTATACTTTGTAGATATTACAAATAAAGCTGATCTAAATATTTAGGTTTTTATGTATACATACATTTTTGTTTCTCTGGGATAAATGCCCAATTTCTGGGTTATATGGTAATTTCATGTTTAGTTTAGTTTTGGAGTTTTTTGTTTTGTTTTTTAAAGAAACTGCTAAACTGTTTTTCATGAGTGGCTATACCATGTTGCACTCTGCCAGTATTGAATAAGTGATCTAGGTCTCCACCAGTATTTGGTGTTGTCTCTATTTTTCATTTTAGCTATCCTGATAAGTGCATCATGATAGCTAATTGTAGTTTTAGTTTGCATTTCACTAGCGATTAATGTGGAGTATCTTTTCATGTGCTTATTTGCTATCTGTATACAAGTATGCTCTTCCTTAAAATGTCCCTTAATGTCTTTGCCCAATTTCTAATTAGATTGCTTGGTTTTTAATGCTGATTTGAGAAGTCTATTATTCTAGATACTAGCACTTTGTTGGATAGCTTGTTTTTTCATCCTCTTCACAGGAGTTTTCACAGAGCAAAAGTTTTTAATTTTGATGAGGTCCAATTTATCAATTTTTATTTTTGTGCTTTTGTTGTCATGTCTAAGTATTCTTTCCCTAGCCTAGATCTCAAATATTTTCTCCTCGCTCTCTCTTGCCCTAGAGCTTCTGTCCTTGAACTCTAGTCTCTCACTCAGCTGTCTTTCTGCCTATATCTTAGCAGTGGGAGATAGGGTCTGAATGAAATGGAATATCCATGGAGTCAAAACTTGGTATCTGTGGATTCCCATTAAGCCCTTCCTCTAATACCCACAAGCCCTGAATCTTAGAGCATTCTTGCTGGTTTGACTTACCATGATTGATCTGCTTCCTGAGTTTTTCAATCTCTCAAAAAACCACTGGCTCTCCACCCTAGCTGGCCCCACTCTCTCCGTTTCCAGTTTCCTTAGAGACTGTATTCCAGTGTTTGTATTGGTGGAATGCAGAGGCAAACTTCAGCTCCCCAAAGAAGGGCTTACCCAGAGAACACACAAGTGGACAATGGGGAGTTACCGTACAGCTATGTTGTTAAGTTTAGATTTTCAACCTGTGTACTGAGTAATGCTGTAGGCAGGAAATAGTGAACATTATGTGCTGCTATAATCTGAGGTTTGTGTATACAACAGAGTGTTATTTGGAAAGTTAAAAAGAAAAGAAACTTTTCTGGACCTAAGATCCAAGAGGGAGAGATAGAGGTTGTTTGGGGTGGGGGTTGGGGAGAAGGATTTGAATCACAGAGTAAATGCAGGGTCATTAAGCAGTTTAACTAATGTACAGTTTTTTAGAGAGATAAATATCAACTATTTAACATATCCACTTGTAACATAAAAGAAGATTCAAAACAGAGTACTTCATTTAATAAGTATACGGATACTAAGCATTTCTATGGTATACCAGACAAAAAGAAGAAGGGTAGAAGGAGTTAGAAGTCAGTGTGGAGGGATCTAAGCGAAGGAATAAATGGGGGATGGATGGGGGGAAGGGAGGGAGGCGCTAGAAGAATGAAAGAAGAGGAAGGAACAGTGAACACTGCACATTCCAGGAGCATTCTGGGAGGTAGACCATGTCTCTCACATCCCTCTGATTGAGTTCAAACTACTAGTCCTGTTTTCTTAACAATCTGGAGAAAACCCTCTGGGCCTCATTTTTTTGCAGTTGTAAATCAGGCAGTTGGAGCAAATGAGTTTCTACAGTCCCTCCCCTGTCCTGGTATGTCACCCCACCTCTGAGACCTGATACTGGTCCCCATGCAGTGGCCACAGCTCAGCAGACCTACTGAAGAACTTACACTGCTGTTTGTTTTGCAAATGTTTAATGTGCTTATATATTTTTCACCCTTTAAGTATATTTTGTCATTTAATTTATGCTCGCTGCTGATTTTACTACTAAGGTCCTTTTTAGTTCAGAGCGTATGATGCTGGAGCCAAGGGCTACTTGGCTCTCTGCTTCTTCGAGGTGATAGTGCCAGCTTCCGGCCTCAAGGAAACCATGCTACCTACCAGGCCAGAGAGTCTAGAAAGTACTGAATCCTGAGATTCTCTAACCATCCCAGGTACAAATCTCAGGACACTTGACTAACTGGTTGCTTCACAGGGACAAGGCAAACTAGACTTGCTCCTTCCAGTTACACAGCACAGGGAACAGAGACAAGGCAAGAGCGCTTGAAGTTCATGTTTGCTCAACTTATTACAGAACAAAAGCCTACAGAACGCTGGAGCTGGCTCACGGGGGCCAAACAGCACAAAGGGTGCTAAGGCTGTGGTATTCACTGTGTTTAAACAGTGGTCCCAGGTTTCCTAGGAAGCGTCACAAAGAATTAGTGTTCCTGTCTATCACACTGAATCTAAGCACATTCTGTGTCGTGGCCTCTTGAGTTGCTTATTTTCATGATCTAATGTGTGTTGATTGGCAAGCGTGGCCAAGCACCATGAGGGTAGAACCTGTCTCATTTTACTTTTTATCTTTTATAAGACCTACAACAAAACTGGCACAGAGGAAGCATGCAAAACACACTTGATTAATTAGTGGCACCTGTAGGAAAACCCTCATTTGAATGACAGCAGATTTCTCATCTGAAACCAGGGAGAAGCACAGGTGACAACCCAGACTTGCGATTGGTATCCGAGCCCTTACTCTGAGGTTCACACACACTCTATCTTTACCTGCAGCCTCGCTGTGTGCCCTTCGGGCACGCCGTGTAAACTCCAGGACTTGGAAGTAAGAAATGCTGCTCCTCAGAGTTCTCTGGTAGTTTCTGCAGAAGTGAGAACTACAAGGGTCAGTCTAGCCACGACCTTGGCCCCGGTGGGACTCACTACAAGTAATATGGCTAGGGGGAACCCCTCAGACATTTACAGCCCAGAGCATCACTAACCATAGGCTGGGACTGACACAGCAAGCATATTTATGGGAGCTAGTCTATTTTGGGGTCTATTCTCTTCCATTGATCTATCGTTCTGCCAATGCCATACAGCTTTACCATCTTGAGTTTTCTACTCCATGAACACAGGCTAGCTTTCCATTTATTTAGGTCTTCTATTTCTTTCGTCATCCTAGTTGCTAGTACTTTTCTTTGATTACTTGAAAATGGGGAAAAAAGCAAACCTGGAGATAGTGTCAGTCCCCACAGGTTACAGGCTCAGTCCCACAACTCTGCCTTCACCCCACTTCAGATGCCAGTCCCAAAACCATGTTGCCACCTGTGCTTCTGACAGATTGGCTATCAATCAAAGGTTCCCATCACTCTCACCTCAGGTTCCATTCATTTCCTAGAGGGGTTTATAGAACTCAGGTGTGAACAGAAAAGAGGCTCAGAAGGGGCCACATGGCAGGCCTGGCAAGCTCAGTAACCAGAAGTAACCACACAGGACGGCCTGACCACAGGTTCCTAACTGGGCAGGTCATAGCCAGTAGTCACGTCCCAGGCCCGTAGCTTCCTTAGCAGGGATCAGTTTTTACCTTATGTGAGCCCTGTCCGTTATCTAGGATAGCATACATTTGAAATGTTAGAGTAGTTTTCTTTTTTTGTCCCTTGAAGGCACAACCACAGACACCAGAGCCCAAGACCACAGAACCCCTCGTTGTTATGTTGTTTCCTGAATACCATCTCTATGTGCTGTAAATGCTACTTATTAACTAACCTATACCCATCTATGTAAAGGAGCTGTGTGTTTCTCCATTTTTGCCTTTTATCCAATCCTAGAGATTTCCCCACTTTGCTTTCTTTTGCAGCCTCAATCTACCACCAGTGGATTTCATACACCTTCCTTACAGCTTCTCATTTGATCCTAATACATGTATAAAATAATCTGCAGCACTGCCATTCTCTGGAGCATCTGAGATCTTGCTCTCAGCATATGTCGTCTGTTTGGCTCAAATAAACTCATAAAAATTCTCTACAGGTTTGGACATTTCTGACGTCGACAAAGGAAAACACTTACTTACATGTACTAGTTCATTAAAGGATATGATAAAAAATACAGTTGAACATACAGATGGAAGAGACGCACAGGGCAAGGTAAGTGGGAAGGGGTGAGAAATGTCCATGCTCTCTCTGGGTGCACCACTCTCACAGCACCTTCACACGTTCACCAACCTGGAAGTTCTCCAAATCTTATCCTTTTGGGTTCTTATGGAGGTTTCAGTATGTAGGCATGATTGATTGACTCATTGGCCACTGGCAATTGATTGGACTTCCAGCCCCTCTCTCTCCCCTGGAACCAACCTTCTAATGATTAACTGGTTCCCATGGCAACCAGCCCTCAACATTTAGTGCAGTCAACAAGTCACCTCATTAACATAACAAAGATCACCTTTATTGCCGTCACCATTTAGGAAAGGCCAAGCACTCTGTGCCAGAAATTGGATGAAGACCAATTATACATTTCTTATTATAACTTATACTATCACAAGGCCCAAATGTCAATGAAGTGTAAATGTTGTCACACCCTATTCTAAGCAAAAGAAACAGAAAAAAAGAAGTTTTGGAATTGTTAAAGAATAACACTCAACCAAGTCAATTTAAAAGTCTGATTGGCTTTATTAAGCAATTCATGAATTGGGCAACATCTCTCTAGATGAAGACTGGAGGGGTTGTGCAAAATGGAAGTGTTTTTATAGGAAGAAGAGTAGGGCGAAAGAAAGGGAAGGATTATTTTTAGGCCAGGACATCTTCTTTGGGGGTGGGTGGGGTAGGAAAAGGTAAGAGCTTTTATCATGCAGATTGTCTTTTTCTGCCATGGGGGATAGAGAGAGCCCATGCAGTAGATTATCTCTTTGAGATTAACCAGAAAATTCCATGCTGGCTGATTAAGACTACATTTCTGGTGAAGGTTGAAATTGCAGTTATGTCTTAGGCTTTAGCATAAGTGACACCATTTCGGGCCTGTGGTTTCCTCTTTAAGAGTATATTATTCTAAAGGAGAACTTTAAAAATTTCTTTCCAGATATGTGGGAGGTCTTCCCCCCAACACTTCTTAAATACACACTTTTCTTCTACTCAAGATATCACCATCCCAGGAAGGAGCCATAGATCACAGAGATTATGCCTCCAAAGGGTGTGACAGGGCTTCCTGTCACACACACTTTAGCAATAAACACATCTCGATAGCTATTGGAAATGACATATGAGTCTTGCTTTAAGATACTTAACTTTAGCTGAGAAGCCAAACCTAACCAACTGAACCTTTTGGAAAACAATACAGTGCAAGAATAGTGCTGCATCTATAGTTGAGAGAGAGAGAGAGAGAGAGAGAGAGAGAGAGAGAGAGAGAGAGAGAGAGAGGATTGAGTTGTGTTTGATCAGGAAGAAGAATTTCCTAGAGGAGGTTGAACATAACATGGATTTAGGGATATCTGAGGTAAAAACACCAATATCAGAGAATAAACACAAGGGCATCTGTGAGGCTACCAAGCTTTAGGTATGAACCTAACAGACTTAATCTGGGCTAAGTATTTCTATTGACAGAAAATCCAACGAACTCATTTTGTGGTGTTTGAAGGTTGAACAGTTGGGAAATGAGCAGCACCGATTCCAAAAGCTACTGATTGGACGAGATCAAGCCAAGGGTGCCCGTGAGCTGAACATCACCAACAAGCTCCACGATGGAAAGCAGTTTCAACTGTTTCAGGTAAGTTTCACCGGCTTGTCGCATCTTCCACCTGCATCCTGGGTCTTCTATCCTCAGTGACCAAATGGGGGAAAGCGAGGCACATAAGTCTGACTGACCCACGTGGGAAGCATTTATTCAGGGTGTGTCAGGCCCCTCACCACAGCTCTGCTCATTGGAGTGACAACTCACCAGTAAAGTGGGATTGAGGGATGATTTTATGACCAAGCAGGAGGTTGAGTAACAGAGTAAGTCACCGAGTGGCACCAACGAACTGACATCATTCAGACACACAGTGTAAATTTTGGTGCACAATGACCCAATAAATGTACGTCTAATGGGAAATTGATAGGATGGGCAGGCTTGGGGAGTCCCCAGGGAAAGTTGGGGAAGTACAAGGGAATACTGAACACCCAGGATGGAAGATATAAGCAAAGGTGAGAAATACAAGGGTCGATATTACTGGTGAGGAGTCCCAGAAGCAAACATCTTTTTCAGGGCAACATGCTTTGCTGTTTGCAAGCCACAGCCACTTCTGTTCCTGCCTTTCTCCAGATGGTATTCCTCTCAGAGACCTCACCTTTGTTTCCTTCTGCATTGCCTTTCACATTATCCACATCACACCTGTTCAAAAACACACGCAGGCAACAAAAAGCAGAGTTCTTCAAGATCTGGAATCCTGTGTTATATTTGGTCACGACTGAAAATAATTTAATTTGGAAATATATAGTTACTGATACATTACTCTTAATTCCTTAATTAGTACATTGATGTTCATTTTCGTATATTGATCTATCGTTGCATTCCAGAAATATATCCTACTTGGTCATGAAATACAACCCTCTTAGTATGCTGCTGAATTCAGTTGGCTAGTATTTTATAAAAATCTTTCTATCAATATTAAAAGGGACATTGGCCTGTAGCTTTCTTTTTATAGTATGTATCTGGCTTTGATATCAGGGCAATACTGCTTCTGTAGAATAAGTTAGGAAGTGCTCCCTACGCTTCAATTGTTTTGGAAGGGTTTGAGAAATATTGGTCTGAAGTTTTTAAATATCTGGTAGACTTCACCAGCGAAGCCATTTGGCCAGGGCTTTTCTTTGTTGGGAGAAAACATGACTTTTTAGCGAATAAGACTACATTCCTGTTCATAATCAGATGAAATGCAATCCATACAGGTCCTGTCTATACTGATGTCATTCTCTCTCCCTGGACCCTCCCAATCTTAATAACTTTCAGAACTCAGGGTGTTTACCCAGTTGGGGTGTGACGAGGAAAGGTTAGCCTTGCACTTGTTTTAAACAGGAAAAGCCAGAAATCAATTTCGTCCCCAGGATATCTTGTATAATACTATTGAGTTGCTCTTGCAGCCTTTACCACACGGTGTCACTAGCAGTGTGGCCTGGAAGGTGCTGCTCTTGCTAAAGCACAGCACCACCGTGGGTCTCAGTCTGGCCCCTACAACAGCGATCTCCAAACCTTTGCTCAAGCACAACTCATAGCTCTTTTTAAACCCAAACAACATGAACCCAAATAGGCCCACACATTATAATTCAAATGGCAAAAGTTAAAGACAAAGAGAGAATCCTAAAAGCAGCAAGAGAAAGGCAACTAGTAACTTATAAGGAAGTTCCCATAAGACTGTCAGCTGATTTCTCAACAGAAACTTTGCAGGCCTGAAGGATTGGCACAAAATATACAATGTGTTGAAAAGTAGGACCGATAACTGATGCAATCCGCGCACCAACTGAGCGTTCCGACTCGTCAGCCAGGAGCCCACCGAAAGGGTACCTGAGAGGACTGGGTGGGAGACTGGAAAAGAAAGAGACTAGACACGAAAGCTGGGGACAGGAGGTCCACCCAATGCTGATAGCAGACGGTGGCCTCGTTTGTTATTTTGTATACAATTTTTATAGCAAAAGTAACTTTCCTTGGGTAGGGTGTTTTGGGACCTTGAGAAAGTAGCCCCCTCGTCTCAGGGAACAAATTCCTTGGAAGCAATCTTTCCGAAGCGAGACAAAACAAAGTATAGCAAATGGAAACTGTTAATAGGATGGCCTTCCACTCTAACTTTTAAGGTTGTCTGTGACATTGGCTGTTCTTTCTTCAGTGGCACAGTGGAGATGAGATCTACCCAGCAACCGTCCCACGCTGCTCCCCAAGGCCTAAAAGCCTGTCAGCTTGCCAGCTGCCAGGCTTAACCCTTCCTGCAGCTCTGGTCTGTAACTTTTAGGCTGCTCTCAAGCTGCTCACCCTAACAAGGAGGCCTGTAGCTCGCCAGCTTACAGCCTCAGCGTTCCTGGCTGATCCCAGCCAGCTCCCCACATACAACCAAGGATACTTTACATAGAAGGCTATCATTTAAAATCAAAGGACAGATAAAGAACTCCCCAGGTGAGAAAAAGCTAATAGTTCATCACCACCAAACCAGTATTACAAGGAATGTTCGAAGGACTTCTTTAAGACAGAAAAAAGAAAAACATCAAAATTATTAATTAATAAAATGGCGATAGCTACCTATCTATCAACAATTACTTTCAGTGTAAATGGATTAAATGCTCCAATCAAAAGACATAAAAGGGCTGTATGGATAAGAAAACAAAACCATTGAGCACTTCAGATTGAAAGACACACACAGACTGAAAATAAAGGGATGGAAAAAGTCATTTCCTGTAAATGGAGGTAAAAAACAACCAAAACAGCTGGGGTAACAATATTTACACCAGACAAAATAGACTTTAAATGAAAGGCTATAACAAAAGACAAAGAAGACCCAGTAATCCCTCTTCTGGGTATTTATCTGAAGAAACTCAAAAAGCTACTTTGAAGGGACCTGTACATCCATATGTTCATTGCAGCATTGTTTACAATGGCCAAGATGTGGAGTCAGCCTGGGTGCCCATCGATGGAAGAGTGGATAAAGAGGAGGTGGAACATAATACAATGGAATATTGCTCAGCCAAGGAAGGGAATGGGCTCTTGCCATCTGCAGCGGCCTGGATGGACCTGGAGGGTATTGTGCTGAGTGGAGTATCAGACAGAGAAAGACAAATGCACTGAGATTTCACTTATATGTGAAATCTAAACAACGAAATGAACAAACAAACAAAACAGAAACAAACTCATAGATCAGAAAACATTTTGATAGCTGTCAAGTGAGAGAGGGCTTGGGGGTGTGGGTGAGAAAAAGGGAAAGGATTAAAAAGTACACATTAGTTGTTACAAAGCAGTCATGGGGATGAAAAGTGAAGCATAGAATATAGTCAATGATGTGGTAATAACTGTGTATAGTGAGTACTAGGTGGGTACTAGACTAGTCAGGGGGATCACTTCTTAAATTATATAAATGTCCCACCACTATGCTGCACACCTGAAATTAATATAAAATAACATTGAATGAAGGCTGTAATTGAAAAAATTTTAAAGGGGGAGAAAGGTGAAGGGGAATAAGAGAACCAACTTTCCAAGTATATAACAAGTAAGTCATGGGGATGTAACGTACAGCATGGGGAATATAGTCAATAATATTGTGATAGCATAGTATG